GATGTTCATTTTCTTTCATTTATATATTCTTTTATATTGTATTTTATTTAAAAATAAAAAATATTCAAGATTATATTCACTTTATGTTCATAGCATGTTTAATGTCTACCTCAATATATAGTGATGCTTAAAATAGTTTTTCAACATCATCAGTAGTATCGTTACCGGTCTTACCATTCTACAATAAGTCCCTGCAACGATTCCCATTGTGCGCCGAAGAATTTTGATAAGTTATATTAAAATAAACATTATTTTTAAAGATATAGCCCAAATATATTCTATGAATATTCAGACATCCTAGGTTATATAAATAGGTTTTAGTATTTACATATTTCCTATGTAATAGAAAACAATTCTTATTTAGAAGTTCTAAAAATGTATTAAAAATGTATTAAAAATGTCTTTGCCAATGGAAATGTCAGAGTAATTGTAATTTGATGCCCCAATTTTCTATAAAGTTGGCAAATATTTAGAGCAGTTGTTTATAAATACCATATTATATCCTTGTTTCAGACGCTAGAATCATTGTGGACTTGTTGGTATAGACTAGTGATATCAAATACTTTCGCAAAGAATACTCTGTCAGCAGAAAATGACAAGATTTGTGAGAACAAGTTACAGCGTTATTTCTGGAGATTGATTTACTTCAAACACCTGCTATAATAGCTCCTTGATTTCTTTGAGATATTCGTATAACGAGCAACAAAGTATAGTTGAAAGTAAATGCTATCTAAAGCAGATTTATCTAAACATAAACAATTTTTATCTAAACAATTTTTTTTAAAACAAGTTCGAGGTTTTTATATAGCCAGTAATTAATTAGTTTTTACCCAGTTTTTAAGGTACATCCAATCGACTTGAGTCTTTTACAACAAATGTAACAATTTCTTTTTTATTAACAAAACTACTGAGGTGTATCTAATGGGGTGGTGTGGTTCACAAATATTTTTTGATGTGTATTTTTTTGAATACATAAGAGAGATAAGAGAAAGAACAGGGTACTAGCTCCCATTTGAGCAGAACACAAGGACCATGATTGATCTTTTGTGCTTGAATACATACGACTATATAAATAATTTATAAATGCTGTATGAACTAAAATTCTTTTCTGATAATTCCTGCAATATTAGTTGACAAAATATAGTATGAGTATAAGACTATTTATTGTAATCTATAATAAAATTTATCTTTAAATCTCATAGAGTATTTTGACTTGTGTTGGCTTTCTTAGCTGAAATTGCTCCAACTTCGATAAATCTCTGAAACGATTCTATAGAAGTGACTTCACCGAAGCTACATCTCTAATTGGCTGTGACATAGAGATCCGTATGGGTTGGTTATCTTATATCTTTATCCGTTTCGTAAACGTTTAGGGTACAAGAAGGGTAAGTGCACATAAAAAATGCAAAGGATAACGGACTAAATGATTCTGTCGAATTGTCTCCACCGAAGCGAACTTCTCTTGTTCGCTGTGACATAGAGATCCACATGGTTTGGTTATCTTATATCTTTATCCGTTTCGTAAACGTTTAGGGTACAAGAGGGGTAAGTGAACATAAAAAATGCAAAGGATAATGGACTAAATGATTCTGTCGAATTGTCTCCACCGAAGCGAACTTCTCTTGTTCGCTGTGACATAAAGATCCACACCGGTTAGTTATCACATTTTTTTATCCGTTTCCGAAATTGTTTAGGGTAAGAGATGATAAAGTAAGCATACTAATTATATATAATAATGGACTCTATACCAGTCGTGGCCATTCTTCATCCCCTCTTAGTAAAGACAATAATGTATTTTAAACAAGCTTTCTTTTTATACTATATTATAGCGTTTAATTACTATAAGTTAAATTTTATATATAATGAACCTTAAACACTGCAACAAAAAGAAAATGATATATTCAAAATGATGTGCAAGTAAAAGTCACCACGAAATTTTGCTACAATAATTCAATTGAGTAAAATCTCACTCATCTCGAAACTCACTCATAAAATCCAATGAAAATCTTGTATGAAAATTATTTGTGAATTTTCGATATGAAAAAATTAAAAAATTTCGCGGTCACAAGGTAAATCTGTAGGATCTCCTTGTTGTGTTACGAATTAGTTTTGGACCGGGAGAGATCGACTCGTATACTCGTACTCGTACCTTTCTGATTATATTTTTAAGTTTTAAATAGATTTTTTATATTGAATAAAACGGTTTTAATTGAATTTTAAAAGCAAGGCATTTGAAATAGAAGCCAAAACGAAAACGACACGACATTTTTTAATGCTGAAAAATTAATTTCAAATAATTTTTTCAATTTAGTTGGCAATCGTTGAAAGGGACACAAAGGATTACCCATGAAACGATTGTTTAACTAAATACATACGAAAAATAAAGAAATTATAATTTAATTAACGATAATTAAATTTAAAAATCGAACGACGTGGAACGAATGTGAAAAAAAGGATAATAAAAAATTTATGATCTTTTGTGGTGCTTTTAAATTAAATTAAATTAAAATTAGAATAAAAAAAAATAAAATAAAATATATAAAAATATTAAAAAAATAAATTTAATTTTAATATGATTTTTTATAAAAATTTTAAATTTTCAAATATTTTTTTCTAGTGCATTCCCCACGAAATATAAAAAAATTATATTAATGCAGTGTACGAGAGAGTGAAATATTAATTTTCATTATTAACAATTAAGTAACAAAGTAAATAGAAATTTATGACGTGACATAAGTACTAACAAAATACAACAACGCTTGGTGGTTCAATTAAGGAAGTTTTGTTATTTTTGTTATGGGGCGGTTAACATTTTGGGTCCTGCTAGGACTAACGTTATTTACCGTCTCATGTCATGGTATGTGTAAACTAAAATTTTTTAATTAATGTGTTATAGAAAAAGAAGATTATAAAATAAAAAAAAATATTTATAATAAATGCATTTTACACTGAAAACTTTTTATTTCCAAAAATAAATATATAATATTTTTATGCTTAAAAACTGCGAATTGAAAGTGTGAAAAATTAAAATAGTCTCAAATAGATTAATAATTTGAATTATATAATGTGGCCCATAAATATATCCACAAACGTATATGAAGAAGTGTCATCGACGGCGAACGACGAACAGCGGTTGCCAAAAAGTGCTATTAGCACAGCAACGAGCGACCTACGAAAGATACTCGCAGATCGACAGCGGCATTACCAACTGACAAAGCAACAAGATACAATGAGTTCTCATAATATTATGCAATTTCTTCTTCGACGTTTAGGAAAATATCTAGTCAAAAATGTATTTTAAAAATATTTTTTCTTATATGATCTCGACTGTGCACATATCAGATGAAATTGTGAAAAGTGTCCGCAAATATCTTTTTGCTCCTAAGTACAAGAAAGATACTTTGAGTGCTAATTAATTGAATTTCTCTAATTTATTCGTATAGAACTTGAGTGGTAAGTGGTAAGTGTTAGTGTCAATTTTGCAGGAAGAGACAAATATGATTCGGGCAGATATGAAAATGAAAATCTAAAGCAAAACAAATCTTCTCTGTCTCCGACTCTGACTATCTAAATGTGAACAACGGGTCTGAGTTGAGTATGAACGGGAAGATTTTGCCATAGTGGCTCGTTTCGTTTAA